TCTAACAAAGCTTCTATATCTCTTAACTCAAATGTCGTATTATGTCGATATCACGACTAATTATAGTCTGGAAGATTGGGAAACCCCCTGCTATAAGCCAATATGACTCATAAATGTAATTTGTAAGATATATGAAAGCATGCTTAGGAAAATACTAGAGAAAGAACTGGAAGAAAAGGGCAATCTGGCAGACTCCCAATATGGATTTCGAAAAGATAGATCCACAGTGTACGCCGTCAATTGGGTGGTAAATAAAAAACAAGGAACGCGAAGCAAAAATGGGTAGTACTAGTCTTATTGTACATAAAAAATGCTTTTAATACTGCAAACTGGGAAATGATTCTGAGACCTATGAAAGGAAAAAAAATTTAAGGTACCTCATTAATGTTATCAGTAGCTACCTGAAAAATAGGAGTGTTCTAATCTCAAATAATGACACAATGGAGGTCAGTCAAGGGGTACCTCAAGGATCAGTTATAGGACCCACATTGTGGAATGTTCTATATGATGATGTTCTGAACCTGGACCTAGGAGATCAAACCAAAGAAGTTGCCTATGCTGACGATCTGGGAGTGTACTGTGAGACAGAAAACATAGAAGAGATACAATTTGTGATAAACGGATGCCCTTAACAGAATTTGCAGATGGATGAAGAAACATAATTTAGAAATTGCAGGACATAAAACAAAACCAATTGTGCTCAAAGGACAAAGAAAAAGGGATTTAGTTTCATTTAGACTTAAAGACATAAACATCAGACCATCTAAACAAGTAACGTTTCTTGGAATTGTATTGAATGAACATCTTAAATTTGAAGAACATGTCAAAGAAATCACAAGAAAGGCTGAAGCAAGAACAGCAATGCTTATGCGAGTAATGCCAACTATGGGGGGAGCAAATAGCTATAAGAGACTAATGCTATACAGAATTACACAATCGATCTTACTTTATGGCTCACCAATATGAGGAGAAGTGACCCAAATTAAAAAATATTTTAGTATGCTGGAAAGGGCACAGAGAAAAATGCAGTTGAGAGTTGCCAGCGCTTACAAAACGGTTTCTAACTAGGCATTACAAGTCATATCATAATCACAGAAAGACAGATACTGCATAATACAGGCGCAGGCCAAAACATAGAAACAGGAAAGCAACCAGACTAGAAACAATAGAAAATTGGCAAAAAAGATGAAAAGCAAACCAAGTTACAGACCAATGGACTGAGAAACTGATCCCTGATTTGAGGGTATAGTTTAACTGCACGTTTCGTAGAGTAGATTACTTTACCACCCAATTTCTAACGGGACACGGATCTTTCAAACAATACGCTAAGAGAATGGCAAAATCAAATGATGATGCATATACTGCGGGGAAGTGGATACGGTTGAGCACACTATATTTAACTGCGAATAATGGAGTAACGAAAATATTGGCATCGGAATAAAAACTGGAGAAGAATTGACATCCAGTAATATAATAAACGCAGTGATAAAAGGTAAAAACACATTTAACATCATTCACGGACACATTAGAGAAATAGTCAGAAAATAAGAGAATGACAGAAGAGCGGCCGAAATATAGGAAAGACAGGCAGTGAGGCTGACGGAATGTCCTTTAAGATGATACCGGTTTCATTGCTAGAGCACTGAGGTGTTTTAGTGGGTAGACAGGGCTAGACCTTGGAGTCCCACACTCCCACTAGCCTGGGGTGCATAATTGCATTTCACCTCATCCAAAAAAAAACGTATGTCGACCTACATATCCTTTAACTTGTGATCATAGGAGTTGAATATGATTTAGTTTGCAGTGATAAGAAGGAAGATGCACAAGATCAATAGCATGTCTTTTTGCAAATTTATTCATTACATAACGTACTGGAGGCTTTTTTAATTTCACCATTTCTAGTAGTTCTATTTTTATTGATTTTTCTGGAAATTGAATGTTTCTGTCTGTTGGCCACTTAATGATATCATCTTTGTTCCATGAAGTATTTGGCACACGTCAAATTAGACGGGAATGGTAACTACTAAGCATTTTTCTTTGGGGGTTTAGCAACTCCACTATTTAACTCACTTATGTAACAACCAGTTAGCCTAAAGACCATTTGTAACTACTGATAGGTCTTTAGCTACTGTTGTTAATATACTAATGAGGGATTAAGGCAGCGCCGTCACCAGCAAAAGGGTCCTGGAGTCCAGAAGGAACATCCATTCACCAGTGGCAAATAAAAAATAATAAAAAAATTAAATTAAAAGAATAAAAATTATCCCTTAATAGCATAGTTGAGCGGTTCTTGGCAACTAGTTTTAGACTCTAAGGGAATAGAAACGCCGAGGCTTATCAAATGCTCGGAGTATTTTAGTGGTGTGGAAAGGGAGGAGAGATTAATAATAAGTATTAAAACATTAACAAATGAATATTAACAATAAGTATAAAATTTGACTAATAGTCTTATGAAAAAATAAATAAAATTCTATTTAGGGAATAAAGCATTATAACTACATAATAATATAAAAATATGCATAAGATAAATATAATAATTTGGGACGAAAATGTAAAATTGGCATTAATATGTAAATCAATCAATTATTATTAAACAAAACACTTTAAAATTAAGTTAAAAGTATTTACCCACAATTTACAAATCGTACACAAAACTTTACTCTACACATCACATTGTTTTGGGACTTGAAGAGTCCCCAAAAAAAAAACGAGAGCTTTCGCCCCTTGGGCAAAAGTTCTGGACCTTAGTCCGAACTCGACTGAGAGTTTACCCAAGAGAGCCTTTCTTTCTGTCTCCTCTCTATATAAACCAAAATTTACATGATGGTTGTATTTTTAAAAATGTCACGCTCAATGTAGCCATTGACTAGATTATTAACCTGATTGCTTGTTTTGTTTTTATACGCGTCTTCTTTTTTTAATTTTTAATTTAAAACCTAAAAATACTTATTTAGAATTTTTGGTAAATTCTTTATATTTCCAACTAATAATAATAATGCCAATTATTGCACTTATAACTTTATATATGGTTGATTACTTATCAGATTACTTGTCTTTTCAACAGTATCGTCAACAGAAAACGAAGGATTTTCCATTCTTAGGCAATTATAAACATTCCTTACAAATATTTCCTCGTTAACTGACAACGCACACTTTTTAATACGTTTCACAAGTGTAAACTTTAAACTTGAACCACACTGCTAGAATACTACTGTCACTATTAACCGAAAATAACCACCACTTCTTACTATAATAGATATAATGAAAAAGGCTAATCAAACAGGGTAGGTAATATTGGGAACTGATCAATTTACTAACTGCAACTGCTTATCTTATCTTCATACCAAATCCTAGGTAGGTAACCATCTTATAATCCCACCATGTCTTGCTGATTTACTAGCCAGAAGAGCAGCCAACCAAATACTTTTTGGACCTGGCCCTTCTATTGGCCTGACAAAATCGGTAGTGACATACCTAATCAAAGAACATTCCCTTATGAAATTCAAGGAAAGATGGGATGATACAAGAAACTGCAGAGTTGCCAGGGACCTCTTTAGTTATCCTGACAACACTGCAGCAAACAAATACTTAACTATGAGTATAGACAGTACGATTGCCAAGTACGAAAGCATCTCCATATCATGGGGCTGTCAAAATCCGCACTCTACAGAGATTGCGAACAAGAAAATGAGACTATCGAGCATATCCTTTACGATTGCTCGACGGTCTCATTTATTATAAGATTTGTGTTCGGCGAATATCGGCTAAAACCGGCCGATACAGGAGAAGCACCTCTTGGCGACGTTGTCAACTACAATAAATCTGTAGGCTAACTTGCGAGCTAGGAGGTACCCATCATCTCAGAAGGATGCACAATGGGCCCAATGAGGCCTAAGTGCCATGCGGGGTAACCCACCCTCTACACGTTTATATATTAAGTGCTATTGAGGATAATTAAGGGATCATTTATGTAAACTTTTCATTATAATTATATCTATCATGCTCTGTCAGTAACAAATGCGCGGTGTTTTCAAGTTTCCAATTAAAATTAATGAAACAGAACTATAAATAAAAGTTATTTTAAAAAACCGAGTTCAATATCGTGCAGATTATGCCCTTAAAAATGGAGTTTTTTTTATTTTTTAATAGATCAACAGATCCTTATCAATTGTATACGAAAGTATCTCTGAGGTATCCCCTTTCTAATAAAAAATAATTACATAAATCGGACAACGTGATAAATAATTATCACTAAAAATAATTAATAAATGAACAGTTTAATAATTTTGTTATAAACCCTAATATTAGATATTGACCAAATTTATATGGGACCAACCTCTTTCTAATAAAAAAAGAATCGTAGAAATCGGATAACGTAGTAAAGAATTATCACTGATCATCCGTAAAAAAAATATTTCGACGAATTGAGAACCTCCTCCTTTTTTTGAAGTTTGTCAAAAAGTACCTTATTTTTAACAACATTTCCAGACACTTTAAACAGCACTACTTGATTTTTTTTTTATTTGGTGTCATCGGCATCTACTGCTAAGGTCATTAGCCTCGTGTTCTGTGTAGGCTTTGTTACTGTTTCCCAGCGCCACTTTAGGAACAGCACTGTTAATTAGAACCCAACAGTGAATGGTCGAGTGGGGAATCCTACACTACTTTTATTAATTTATTTCCAGTCATATCTGACGATTTATTTATCCATTTTGATTGAACTGTTGTAGTACATAATAATTAAATATTATTATACATCATTTATAAATGTATGTACGTTTAGAAAACTTTTAAACATACTTATTATTAATTTTAAGAAAATATACATAGGCCTTTATCCACTCATGTCTTCAATTTGGATATTTTTATAATTAAAAATCTGACAACGCTGCGAATATGATACAAAAGTACGTAAAAGATAACTGACTACTTAGTTACATTCTTGCAATTGAATATTATATTAATATACCACTTATCATCGCAAAATAAATATAATTAAAATGAATAAAAATATTAACGAAACTAACGAAAAATTAGACAATACTAAATTAATTGAGGATATCAATATTAGTGCTGGTGTACAAGAAAAAACCACTGATAACTTTGATGGAACAGACGAAACAGCACTTCCTACTAAAAATGTGATACAAAAGTCACCATCCCTCACAATTGCACGTTTTCCACCATTTCCTGATGTACAAAACCAGCAGCCATCTTCGAATAATAACCAGTTCAATCAAGATACAAAACAAACAAATATTAAAGAAGAAAACAATTGGGAAACATGCTGTGAATTGTTAGCTTGTTGTGTTAACTTTTGGGAATGTTTCATTATTTGTTGTGAATGTTTAACTTTATGTAAGTGATGTTTGTGAGTGACAAATTAAATTTGACAGCCGATATTAGGTTTTGCGTTCGAATTAAAGGTATGATCCGATATTAACCGAAATATCTGTTATTCAGTCCAAAACCAACCACTCTGTTTGACATTCCTAAAAAACCGGTTACCTGAAAATGGTAACTCAAACGTCAATTCACTAACCGGTATATTTTTACGGTTACTATTAAGTTGAATGACAATATGTCACAAAAATGACGCAACTTTCGGCCGTGGTCCAAATATAACCAAAAAATAAGTGTTTTTCAAAAAATCCTGGTTAGTACGGTTAGTAGTCGGTTAATATCAGACCATGCCCTAAATGTTGTGAATTTACTTTTAGGAAAAATTGTTAATCAAAAATTTAAATTTTAATAAACATTTTTGTGAAAAACTTATTTTTTGTTTGTTTTAACCTTGAATAAAATATTTTTGTAGGAATGTCTTTATTTTTAAGTATCTATATAGAATAAGGAAAAAATTACACATAAAATTAGGAAGTCTTAAGGTGCAGTTCACCTGTTCACCTAATTAATTAATCAGTAGAATTCACTGAAAATCAGTAACACCGTTACACATTTTTAAATAGAGAAACTATTATTTTTATCACAGCAAACAATCAAAAACTAAATTACAAATATTCCCTATTATGAATTTCTAAAACAACATAGTCAATTTTGAAACCCAAAATGTATCCATCGCTGCTTCATTTCTGGGAAATCTATAATCTATAATGCGAAACGTTTTGGAAATTTTACCGTTAATGGGTTTTTGAATGACTAACAATGTTTATCAATTAAGTTTGTAATTTCCAATTATGATACGGACGACTACGCCACGTTGCCAAATCCAACAAAATTGTAATTATTACTGAAATTGCAATAATTGAAAGAGAATAATGAATAGGGGTCAGTAGTGTATATTGGTTGATTCGGATATGGTTTTTACAATTTGCAAATCAAGAATTCAGCTATGCTATGCTATGCTATGTAGGGAACTAATGTAGTGAATTTGACTAAAGAGTATTTTCACTATGAACTTTGTTTCTAAGGTTTAATGTATATTGTCAATGTGTTATTTTGTATGTCTATTTTTCGATAAATGAAGCCTTATTTTAGAAGGTATCCTCATTACAATTTATTTAGCGAAATTTTTAGAAACCATCATAGTCGAACGGTTTACTACTGATCCAAATTCAGAAAACGTAGCTAAGGAATGGATGCATCGGCCAAAGACATTTGAAAATTTTATTGCAACTGTTGAACAAGTTTCAGAAAGAACCAAGCTATATATTTTAATTAATCATGTGAGTTTGTCTATTCATGATTATATTTCTGAATGTGCGAGTTACAACGATACAATCGAAGTTTTGAATAGAGTTTACATTAAGGAGAAGAATGAAATATTTGCACCATATTATTTATTTACAAAGAAGCAACAGCCTAATGGATCTGTAGATAAATATATTCAAATTCTTACTCAACTGGCAAAGGAAGAAAATTAAAGAGACTATATAAGAGATGCTTTTATTACTAGATTACATTCGAATAATATCAGGCAGCGCTTACCCGAAAACCATACACTTAAATTTGAAGATGCTGTGAATCAAGCTAGATCTTTGGAGTCTGCCCAAAAGCATTCTGAAGCTTATAATCTAGTATGGTATGCTCTTTTCAAGAGAATGAAGACAATAACAACCAAATTGTGTCTGAAAATAATATAACTTCTTCCAATAAATGCTTCTTTTGTGGAAATAGAAGACACTCTCACAGTATCTGTCCAGGTCGTAATTCACTCTGCAGAACGTGCGAAAAAACGGCTATTTTAGCAAAGTTTGCATGTCAAAGAAACAACAAAATAAGTCTCAATCTGTATCAACATCAGCTTCTCTTATATCTCCCATTTTCCACGTTTTAGCAGCTGCTCCAAACTGCTTACATAAATCCTTGATTAAAATTAAGATTAATAATAAAATTATCTGTGATACACTTGTGGATACGGGAAGCTCCGAAACTTTTATCAGTAAAAACTTCATCGAATCAGCAAATATTGAGTTACTACCAAGTAAAGGACAAATTAGTATGGCTTTAACAGCTTTACTCTCAAAAATTTGTGGACATTGTTTTATTAGTTTGGAACTCTTGGGCCATAAGTACGATGAAATTAGAATATCCGTATTACCATATCTGTGTGCATATATAATCATTGGTCATGATATACTGTCACAGCATTCGAAAATTGAAGTCAATTTGGGTGGTTTCAGATCTCCTCTTATCTTATTTTCATTAGCTCCTGCTAAAGTTTGTTCCCCAACTCTTTTTGAAAATTTATCTTCTGACTGTAGACCAATAGCTACAAAATCTCAACATCATAATGTTGAGGATAAATTATTCATACAAGAAAAAATTAAAAATCTTATTTCTAAAAAAATAATACAAGAAAGCAACTTACCATGGAGAGCTCAAGTTCTCGCAACTTAAAACGAAAATCATAAAAAGAGGATGGTTATCGATTATTCACAAACAATTAATAGATTTACATACCTAGATGCTTATCCACATAGTTAACGCCTTTTCACAATACAGGGTGTTTAGCACTATAGATTTACAGAGTGCTTATCATCAACTACTCCTACGTAAAGAAAAAAGAAAATCCACAGCATTTGAAGCCGATGGCAAGCTTTATGAGTTTCATAAGTTTATAAGTTCCATTTGATGTAACAAACGGAGTGGCTTGTTTTCAGCGATTAATTGACGATATCGTAAAAACTGAAGATCTTTCAGGTACTTATGCTTACTGTATATGGCGAAGACCAAGCCGAACATGACGAAAATTTACACAAATTTTTAAGAGCTGTGGAAAAATATAAATTAAGAATAAACAAAAACAAAAGTAAATTTTCAAAGAAATGCATTACAATACTTGTTTACGTAATACAAAATGGAAATATCAGGCCAGATCCATCAAGACTAGAATCTTTAGTGAAATTACCAGTGCCTACCACAGCTAAGAGTTTGCAAAGAATACTTGGGATGTTTTCTTATTATTCAAAGTGGGTACCACGAAAAAATATACAATCTTGTCAATTCTAAATCATTCCCACTTGAAGAAAATGTTATTAATTACTTTGAAAATATCAAGAAATATATATCTATTCCAGTTGTCACATCTATTGATAATGATGCTATTTTTGTAGTAGAAACTGACGCCTCAGATCATGTAATAGCTGCTTGCTTAAGTCAATCTGCTAGGCCAGTAGCATTTTTCTCTCGAATGCTCTCTAGATTAGATTAGGAGCTGGACGTTACTTGTCCTTGTCCACTGCGACCTTTTCAGATCTATTGTGGGACTCCACTTGTTCTAGAGTATGTCGTCTAGCCTGGTCTTTTTTATTAGACTTAGTAGCTTTGACAGTGGCTCTCGCATGTAGTTGCATGCATTTGGATTTTCTTCGCCCAATGTTAGAAATCTCATTCCAGCCAGGCCTTTACATTGGCACAGGACGTGGAATAATGTTTCCTCTTCTTCTTCACAGAACCTGCACAAAGTTGCTTCTTCTGTTGGATTTATGACACTTATGTGCTTTTTGAGGCGACAGTGTCCAGTAAGAAGGCCTACTGTTATCCTAACGATTTGACGCTTTTGATCCAGTAGGTCTTTCGTGAACTTGGCCGATGGTTCCTTAATGAGCTGTTTGGCCTGTCTCAGTCTTGGATAGTTGTTCCACCATTCCTAAGACTCTTTTTGCATCCATTGTGTAATGGATGCCTTGCACAATGCCTTAGCAACTCCACAGAAGGGTTTGGGGCCTGTCATGGCCTTATCTGAGCCTTCTCGGGCTAATTCGTTGGCTTTTTCGTTGCCCTGATATCCTTTATGACCTGGAACCCAGGCTAGGGTCACCTTATTTTGACTACTTAGCTCTGCCAGGTCTTCTAGACAGTCTTTCTCAAGTCGTGATTTGATTTCTTGCGAGACAAGTGCCTTTAGAGCTGCTTGGCTATCAGAGTATATGGCAATAGTTTTGCCTGATACTTGCTGATTTAATATTTCTCTTGCACAGTGTTGTATGGCTATTAGTTCAGCCTGGAACACTGTTGCATATTTTCCTAAACTCAGCGAAATCATTGTCTTCGACTTGGGTCCATAGATTCCAGCACCGGCTCCTTCCTTGGTATTTGAACCGTCTGTATACCAGATGAGTTCAGCCTGTACGGGAGGTCCCTGTTTCCAGGATTCTCGGGCTGGTATTTAAATTTGAAAATTTCTTTCAAATTTGTATGTGGTTATGGCTCTATCAGTAGGCATTGCTAGAATATTATCCCTTTTTACTTGCTGATATAGCCTTATGTGGTCGGCGCTATGTAGTTGGCTTATTGGGTTTTGTCCCTGCATTAGCCTGTGAATAGCTGACCTGGTTTCTCCTTGTATGAAGATGTGCAGTAGCGTGAGATTTAATGCTACCTAAGAGTGAGTTAAGGTACACAGCGGTAGAAAAAGAAGCACAAGCCATCGTCCAGTCACTAAAGAAATGGAGGCATTTTTTAATTGGAAGATATTTCAAATTAATTACTGATCAAAAGTCAGTATCTTTTATCTTCGACACCAGGCATCAGTTACGATATTATATATAGGCCAGGAGCTAAGAATACGGTCAGTAACACGTTCTCAAGGATATGTAACTAGACTAGCGGAAACGTTCTATTCGATCTGCATACATCGCTTTGCCATCCTGGAATTACTACGATTTATCACTGGGTAAAATCACGAAATATGACATATTATCTTCAGGAAATTCGAACAATGATACGTTCTTGTCCAGTGTGTGCTGAAATAAAACCACAGTTTATTAAAAACGAAATGAGTCATTTAGTAAAAGCTACCTTACCATTTAAGAGAATAAGTATAGACTTTAAAGGAGCTATACCATCCTTTACCCATAATAAGTATCTTCTAACAATAGTGGATGAGTATTCTCGTTTTCCTTTTGCACTTGCTTGCTCCAATATAACTTTTAATACTGTTATTAAATGTCTTGAACAACTGTTTACAATCTCTGTAATGCCCTTCTGACAGAGGTAGTTCTTTTATGTCTATATCAAAATTCATCAATTAACGAGAGCTTTCTGTGATAGAGCGGTGTTGGTCTAAGATACTAACACCCTTTATAATTAATATGACAAAAGAAAAAACTTTAACAAGATCTATTTTGTTTTCACGACAGCACTAAATACAACTCTCACCAAGGTACACGTAAAAACGAAAGGACAAACCTTGATGATTCTGGATATAGATGAGATCGTGAGGGAAGAAGATATACGACAAGTGCTAAAAAGGAAAATAAACAACGAGAACAACTTTGTGGATGCGTCCCAGGTTAAACTGGCAGAAAAACCTAATAAAAATGGGTACATATATGCATTTGTAACAATGCAGCCGGATGCGGCTAGTTACATAACAAGGAAGAAAAAGATTGGTGAAGGATGGAACCGATGGAGGATAAGAGAGTTAGATCCCGTCGAAAGATGCCGTAAGTGCCACAGAATTGAACACAGGGGGGCCAGTGTAAATATAAGGAAGATGACAAAAATAACTGCCACAAGTGTGGAGGGGGCGAACACAAAAAAAATGCACTAACGAAGAACATTGTTACACAAATGGACACACAGCGGAAACGATGAGATGCCCAGAATATAGAAATCTAATTAAGAAACATAATGAGGAGAAGAGGGCTAGAACAGCGTCTTTTAAAATCCAGCACATAATATGAAGATATTACAAGCAAATGTAGACAGGGGACGGGAAGCTACATACCTAATATATAAGTTCACAGAGGAAGAAAGGGCAGACAATTATCATGGCCGAACCAAATATAAAAAAGTGATAAAAAGCCAATGGATCACTGATACTAATCTGGAGATAGCGATAAATGTCTTTAATAGAAATATTAAAGTAACTTAGAAGGGTCAGGAACAAGGTTACGTATGGATCGAAACAGACAGGGTTATTATATATGGTGGTTGCTACATATCACCAAAAATAGATTGTCTCATTTACTGATTACCTCCATAGACTGCGAATGGACATGAAAACACATAAAAAAGAAATCCTAGTTGGTGGAGACTTTATCGCTAAGTCATATCTCCGGAGCTCTAAAGTGGAAGACAAAAGGTGACGGATTCTAGCAGAATGGCTGAGCGAAGAAGATCTGGCGATACACAACGTGGGTGATGTACCTACCTTCGTAAGGTGAGAAAGTAAATCGTACATTGATATTACCTTTAGGGAATTGCGAAATACGTCAAAAACTGGAAGTTCTACAAGAAGAAAATTTGAACCTGCACCAGCACATAACCAACATTATTAACACGACAGAAAATAGACAAAATTAACGAATAGCAAATGAAGGCTGGAAAATATTACCAGATAACATTAAAAACTGTTCAAAAGAAGTGGGAAGACTACTGGACGAGAGGACTGACCAAAAAGGAACAGAAGATCTGAGCAAAATAGTCTAAACGGCGCGTGTCATAAAAACCTACCAAGGAAAAAATTTATAGCAAATGGAAAATTTTAAACCTTAAATCTTTGCCTAACAGACTTAATTATGCCCTCTAAAGGCACTGATTTATATCGCCTGATATTTTCAGCTTTTGAAGTTTAGTTTTCATTGAAACTAAGCTGGGAAGTATATACAAATAATAGGTGTTCTCCCTGTAAAAATCTAATGTTTCAGCCAGAGGCTGCATTAATTTGATATATTTCTCTAAAAAGGATATTTCATGTTCTTTAAATATCGGAATCATAAGTTTATTACATAGAACTCCTAATTTATCTTTGACAAATACAATTTGGACGACAGCGTCATAAATGGAGTTCTATTTGGTAATTCGTGGAACTTTTAACTTATGTTCAAGTTCTTCTTGTATTATTTCAGCCGATTTCGGCCGTCCGCATTTATTCCATAACTTCGAACATTTGAAAAATATTTGTGTTTTTTTGTCGCAAAGGCAGTAAACCATTTACCGAATTTTTGAAATCGGTAGTTGCAATGAGATTTATGGTATGTGAGACACATTTTATATGTTGCGGCAAATATCTTTCCTCTATAAAATCTCCCATGGGGTATAATTTAAAAACAAAAAAAATACATGGAAGTGTTTCGCCACTTTTTTCTTATATCAACAATTTTAAGGCAAAAATATATATTGTTTAAGGGGTAGTACTGAAGTACATTCTGAGTATTTAAGTACATTGACATACTAAAGAACGTTATACGTACTTAGTTGCCTTATTTCTTCACTATTTTAAGTAAAAAAGTACTTAACTCAAAATATTACTGTTTAAGTACAACGACAACAACTTAAAAATGTAAGTACAAGTACATGCATTTTTGCAGGTACTTATAATACAGTACTTAAGTACTTTTTGTACTTAAGTAATTTTTTTAAGTGCATAGAGTATTCAGTACTGCAGCTTTGACACCTTGTATCTCGGCAACAAAGCTTTTTAAGGGTTCATGTGTCTATATCAAAATTCATCAATTAACGAGAGCTATCTGTGATAGAGCAATGTTGGTCTAATATACTAACACCCTGTATAATTAATATGACAAAAGAAAAAACTCTAACAAGAACTATTTTGTTTTTTTCGGATATCGCCTAGTGAAACTGGCAACCTTGCTAAATACCTTCCGAACATAAATTAAGGGAATCGTTTACCTGAAGACTGACTACACAATAAATTTTACTGAACATTGCTCTGTGCCTGTCGTTCATTCAACATTAATCAACATTCATATTTTCAAACTCGGTAGAGTAACACGCTAAACATGACGGACGATGATGGATTAAAGAGTGACAAAAAAGAAGTTGAAAAATCTTCATTGTATCAACAAACGAAGCCGAATGGTCGAGTGATTTACATCTTGGATTCTTCCGAAGAATCGGCACGAGACTGTAGAAATAAGAAGCGTGCTAAAAGACTGCAACGTTGGGCTGCATGTTGTGGTTTGTTTGGAAGATGCCTCAGTGATTCTAATCTGATGTTCGGCAGTTAGGTACATTATTAATAATTGTTATTTTAATTTTAAAATATTGTGTGATTTAGTTTAATAATTAAGAAATTTTCATTTATGATTTAGAACCGTATAAAATAAACTATTACATTTTCACAGTTTTACGGAAAACAATTATACTTTCTTAGTACCTATATATTCTCAGTAAATACTTTTTATGAATAAGAATATGCTAAAAATATACTTTATTTTCATTTATGACGTTCTCAGAATATACCCACTAAAGCATCGTACATTGACTAAAGTATACCATAATATACCATAGTACCATACCATATACCATATATCATATACCATATACCATAGTATACCATAATATGCTCCATATTTTGACTTTATTTATAAAAGTTTGTAATAAATACCCTTTGAAGGATATTAAAAATTTTGTGATTGCTTAGATCAATTTTAGAGGTGTTAAAATATGTGCCTACCTAATTTAAACATAATATATAGATCCAGGTTTGAAATATGTACATTTGAAATCTGGGTTTTCTATAGTATAATTTATGCGAGGCAAACAAACCCCACACCGTTGTTAAGTTTAAGAATGTGCGCTTCTTTTGGTATCGGAATTTTTATTTTTGTGGGATTTAGGCATATAATCAACACAACTCAAGATTTTAATCGTTTATTATTTAAAAAAGTACAGAAAATTAAAGTTTATTTAACTATAACAGTTAACCTAAAATACATTGAATACAATTTCAAATCGTATGAACATTAATTCAACCAAAATCGGTCGCACTCAGGTACAGAATACAAACCACGTTTGGTCATTTGCTTAGGTGCATTTATAGCACCAAGTATATTGTCCCAGCTATACCAAATTTCATCGTTCTTTTCGGGCCATTTCCAAAACTTCAGCGACTTCACCATTGCGTTAATCTTAACCATTTTGTTCTCAATTTCGGTTAGTGTCATACAACACTAAAACGTATTCGCCTACAGCTCTCTGCATGTCTTTTAGACCTGATTCTTGAATTATTTCAGTTGCAGATTTGGCAAAATAACCAGATTCAAGTTTTTTATTAAATTCAATATCCTCCTCCATGTCTTGAACTTCATCAACTTCATCATCTGAATCTGTAAGTTCAGAAAGCTTGTCTGACTTCTCTACTTCTGAAACTTCATTCTCTCCTTGATGTTTAGAGTGTTTGGATATTGGAGCTGTAACTATTTCTGAAGTTCCAAATAAATTAGCAGAACCGATTTCGCTGTGAGCAATGCTTTTTCCGGCTGGAACTGTTATTTTCTTTTTCTTTCCCCGGACTTGAAACTGAGTAACCTCCCTCCTTTTATTTTCCAAACATTCAAGAAAAGAATTTTCTATTTCAGGTATATTCTCTTGATTGATGACATGATGATTGTTATGTAATCGCTCTAATAAGGGACTTACATCACAAGGAACGATTCCACATTTTCTGAATCCTGCTACTAAATTTCAAGCACTGTTTTCAGAAATTTTTAGTCGCCTTAGAAGTGTCGAAAAATGTTGTTTTTCGATCACACTTGACCTGCTTCCAACGTGGGATTCTTTATAATCTGACAAAATTTCACGCCATGCCTTTTTCAATGGGGCGAAGAATGCCACATCTAGTGGCTGCGTTACATGAGTGATATTTGGAGGCAAGCAAACAAATTGAACATTATGGTCTTTACAGGCTGCTAATACATCGACATTTAAATGCGAGGATAAATTATCGCCGATAATAACCTTTTTGCCTTCAATTTTTTTTAATTTTGTTAAAACAGCTGAAAAAACCAATCCGAAAATGTTTCTGACTCAAACCACCCAGATGCTGTGTTGGCATAGCGAGTACCAGGTGGGCCATTCTCTGTCCACGTGTCCCATAAATGTTTTGATTTATACACGACATAAGGTGGCAGAACCTCACCTGCTGCATTTCCTGCAATCATTAGGGATATACAACTTTTTGATAAATTAACTATCCTTTCTGGGTATTTCATGCCCCGTTTGGTTAGAACTTCTTTTTGACCAGGATTATCTGTTACATTGGTTTCATCATAATTGAAAATTGCATGTGGTGGAACCCCTTCCAAGGTTTGTTTTAAGTTTTCTATATACTGTTAGGTCCCTATGCCTCTTTAAGAAAGTTTTAACCCAGTCCCTGCCAGGCAGGTTATCTTTAAAACGGGGTATTCTCCTACCTGTTGAAGAGAAATAAAATAAAATGAAAGAGAAATGCCTATTTACCCACCTTTCTTATTTAAAAATATCTTGGCTATTTGACGAAGCTCCATCTCAGTCACTGGGAACCCGAATTCGCTCATTTGATGAATGCAAGAAACAAAGACCCTTTCTTCATCATTTGTAAACGTAGCAGGGTAACCTGGTTTATTGGTGTGTACATTCTTCAATTTGTTCATAATGGTTCTCCGTGGTATATTATAAGCTTCCGCGGCTAATCTGGTACTCATTCCATTTCTAATTGCTTCTAAACATTTTTCCAAATTTTGTTGCGTGTAGTCGCCATACCTCCGAGAGCCTGGGGCCCTCTTATACACCCTTGGCATCTTCTAGAAACAATAAAACTAAATA